ATATCACCCTGCAAGAGTGTTGTTAACAGACCCAGAAGTGTTGCGTTCATTTGTACTGCTACGGAGTCGATGAAAGTGTTAGAGAATTGATTTATGCTCCCGGAGGTGCCAACATTTTTATACTATAATCACTTTTTAAAGTATTTATTTAATACAGGGACAGCTAGACAGACAAACAGAACCCCTATCTGCTGACTCAACCCCCAAATGCCTGCAATGACCAGGGCTGGGCCAGGGCCAAGCCAGGAGTCAGGAACTCCATCCAGGTCTCCCACGTGGGTGGGTGGGTGGCGGGGACCTAATTACTTGAGCCATCAGCCCTGCCTGCCAGAGTCTGCATTAGGAGGCATCTTTAGAAGCAGGAACCAAGACAGGCACTCTGATATGGGGTGCAGGCACCCCAACCACTGGGCCGAATGCTCCTCTCGATATTGTAAACATTCCCATAGAACGCTTCTGAACTCCCACACGCATCCCTGCCTTCTTGTTTAACAGCATCCAAAACGTAAATAACCTTTACACAACGACAACTACAACGATTGTTTCGTGGAGACAATGAAGACTCTTGCTGCACTGGAGACAAAGTGCCCCCAAGGCCAAGGACAGGTGTGAGTCCCTCTGTCTCCCCAGTGTCTGCACAGGAGCTGTGGCTTCTGAATTCTCAGCCTGCTCGCTGGGGAGTGGGTCTTCCCTTCACATGCAATTGTCACTCCTGGTCGGCCTGAGGGGGCTGCAAATGGAAAATTCCAGGCTTGCTCAAATTGTGTTGACCCTGAGCAGACTGGCTCCGCAGTTAAGGGCTGGGTAGCCGAGCACATGCCAACAGCGTGCTGTGCACAGATTTAATAACGCGGACCTCATGCTTGGGAGATGCCCTCCATCTCAGGGGCTTTGGCGGTGTCGAGCTGCTAGACCAACTTCCCCAGGATGCATGCATGCTTCTGCACCGTCCAGCTGGTTAAACAGCTGGGATCCGTCATCTAACAAGCTGGTGCAGACTTCCTGAGAAGCAGTGAGAAGACTGAGGAGCCCACGTGCACCCATGGGAGACTGGTGGAGGAGCCAGAGACCTGCAGGGCCTCCTCATTACTGGAAGAAGGGTGGAGAGGAGTAAGACCCACGGGTGGCCAGCCCCACAAGCAGGGCCAAATGTACTGTAGGGTGGGGACCAGAGTGGTAGAAGTTACTGTGTAAAGGTCAAAAGTAAGAAAACAAAAGACAAGGCCTGTCACTCCTAGATTTTAAAAAATTATAAGATAAAAAAAAAAAACAGGACTTTTTACTTCAGGATAAAGTTCAAACTCCTCAACACGGAATACAATTCCTGATCTAGACTTTTTTTTTTTTTTTTTTTTTTTTGGAGGTAGAGTTACAGAGAGAGGAAGAGACAAAGAGAAAGAGATCTTCCCCAAATGGCCACTATGACCAGAGCTGGGCATATCCAAAGCCAGGAGCCAGGAGCTTCTTCTTGGTCTCCCATGTGGGTGCAGGGGCTCAAGGACTTGAGCCATCTTCCACTGCTTTCCCAGGCCATAGCAGAGAGCTGGATCAGAAGTGAAGTGGAGCAGCCAGGACTCAAATCAGCACCCATATGGATGTCGGCACTGCAGGTGGTGGCTTTACCCACTCCACCACAGCACTGGCCCCATAGTTTTTTCTTAATGCAAATTTTTCATGAACTTTTAAAAAAAATTTATTTATTTGAGAGGAAGAGTTACAGACAGAGAGGAGGGAGAGGCAGAGAAAAAGGCCTTACATCTGCCAGTTCACTGCCCAGATGGCCACAACAGCCATAGTTGGGCCAGTTCGAAGCCAGGAGCCAGGAGCTTCTTCAGGGTCTCCCACGTGGGTGCATCTTCCACTGCTTTCCCAGGCCATAGCAGAGAGCTGGATCAGAAGAGGAGCAGCCAGGACAAGAACCAGCGTCCATATGGGATGCCAGCACCACAAGTAGAGGCTTAGCCCACGACGCCACAGCACTGCCCTGGTCTAGCCTTCTCTAAGCCTCTTCGCCCAGCTGAAACAATGCCATTGCCTCTTGCTGGAATGCCCTGCTTCCCTCCCCGGCCCCCATCATCCCTCTTCCATTTCTCAGGTGGCCCCCACCCTGCAGCGAGTGCTGTGTTCCTCTTCTGGGGTCCCAGGACATCCAACATTGCAGCTGATGGAGCTGGCCCCTTACAGGCCTGACCATGAGGGAAGGAGGACCCTCCCTAGTGCCCAGCCCAGAGCCCGCTACACAGATGCTGAATGAATGAATGAGTGAGTGAGTGAGCAAATGAATGCAGCATTCACGAAAGCAGCCTTAGGGAGATGTCTGGAATGAAGACAGGGCAGGCTTCAGCCTTTACCCCAGGGGGAGCCGAAGGAGGGGTTGTGGGAGGGGACCTGTGGGCTGCTTGTTTACAGATCAGGGATAAGCTCCTGGCCCTTTCAGTAGCGAGGACAAGAAAGCAGACAGCTCCTCCAGGGCAGCGTCCATTGGGTAAACTGGCAGTCGGCTTGGCCTTGCCCTTCGCAGGAACCATGAAAGACGGTTTCTTTTATAAAGAAGTTGTTAGCAGCGGCCTCGTCCAGTGCTGCCGCTGGAGACCCTCAGACCACGCACTTCTGATTCATGCGGAACGTTTCGATGTCATCTCCAGGAGAATTTTGAGTTGGTGTTTTTGCTGCCTTTCTTTGTCTTTTTTTTCTTTTTTCTTTTTTTCTTTTTGACAGGCAGAGTGGACAGTGAGAGAGACAAAGAGAAAGGTCTTCCTTTTGCCGCTGGTTCACCCTCCAATGGCCGCCGCGGCCGGCGCACTGTGGCCGGTGCACCACGCTGATCCGAAGCCAGGAGCCAGATGCTTCTCCTGGTCTCCCATGGGGTGCAGGGCCCAAGCACTTGGCCATCCTCCACTGCACTCCTGGGCCACAGCAGAGAGCTGGCCTGGAAGAGGGGCAACCGGGACAGAATCCAGCGCCCCGACCGGGATTAGAACCCGGTGTGCCGGCGCCACAAGGCGGAGGATTAGCCTAGTGAGCCACAGTGCCAGCCATCTTTGTCATTTTAATTGATTGAAGTATGACTTAGATACTACAAAATGCACAGGTTTTCATGTTAACAATTCCTTGGCTTTTGACAGATGTATACGCCAGCCCCAACCTACACCCCTAACAGGCCTGTCACTCTGGAAATTTCCCTCATGCTCTCTCCCAATCCAACACCACCATTGGAGAGTTTTGAAAAAAAAGTAAAAAAAAAAAAAAAATATGGTCCTGGCTGTTAACAGAATAGGCATGCAGGTCACGGCAGACTGGCCTTTTGTGAGTAAAACAATCAGAAATGAATGCAATCCACCTCGTGATCCATACCAAATGGCATGCTTCCGCTTACCACTCAACCTGCATTGAAAGAGAAACGCATTAAAATGTCATCTGGGGAATTCGCTGAAAATTCAAACACCTGGGCCTGCTCCAGCACCACTAAATCAGAAGCATTTTGGCACAGGCCTCAGGAATGCAGGTTCATAAATGTCCCCAGGAATTCTGGTGTGGAGCAGGGGCAGAGGGTGGCATGAAGCACAGCATGGAGTCCTTGAGGATCTGGTCTGCTGGACAGAGATCAGCACTGGCCAGGGATGAAGTGGAGTGCTGAGAAGTGTGGGGACTTGATCAGGGTCATATGGTGAAGTCGTGGCATAGCTGGCATTTCTTGGGAAGCAGCAGGAAAGGCCAGGGTCACAACCAACTCCATGGGGACATTGGTCCTTGAGTTGTCGCTGAGTTAATAGAAAGCACATGCCCAGAGCTAGGCTGCCTCCCAGGCATCACCCTGCTTAACAGAGCCACAGGAGCAGCAGGTGGGGACTGTGTGTCTGAGAGGAAGCTGGAAAGGAAACTGCCCCTTGGCTGGCACCGCGGCTCACTAGGCTAATCCTCTCCTTGCGGCGCCAGCATCCCAGGTTCTAGTCCCGGTTGGGGCATCGGATTCTGTCCTGGTTGCTCCTCTTCCAGGCCAGCTCTCTTCTGTGGCCCGGGAGTGCAGTGGAGGATGGCCCAAGTGCTTGGGCCCTGCACCCGCATGGGAGACCAGGAGGAAGCACCTGGCTCCTGGCTTTGGATCGGCGCAGCGAGCTAGCTGTAACGTGCTGGCCATAGCGGCCACTTCAGGGGTGGACCAACGGAAAAAGGAAGACCTTTCTCTCTGTCTCTCTCTCTCTCACTGTCTAACTCTGACTGTCAAAAAAAGAAAGAAAGAAAGAAAGAAAGAAAGAAAGAAAGAAAGAAAGAGCCCCTTTCACCCTACAGTCACTGGCCTGTGCAGCCCCCCAGCCCTCAGGACAACATAATCGATCCCTGCCCTGAGTCTTCTCCCAACCTGACAGTGAGTTCTAGTGCTGGAGCTGTTTCCCACGAAGGCAGCAGACTCACTACTGGCTGAGAAAGGTCAGTCCAGAGAACTCATCACCCAGTGGAGTCCTTCTTGCCATCCGCTGAACATGTAAACCAGCAATGAGAACCACTGATGCCATCGATCAGTGGTACAACTGGGAGCTCGATCAGAGGCTGTGCAGTAGCAGGTCGGTATGTCAAGTAGCATTGTCTTTTCTCCATGCAGACAACCCCAAACAGCTGGAAAATCACTGGAGAGAATTGCCATGCATCCAATGAACTTTTGATCCACCCAAGTGTCAATTTGTACCCAGTGAGCAGGCCTCCTGTGCACAAGACTATAGACGTGGCAGAAAGCCAATACTCCCAGAAAAGCAGGGTCCCATTACTTCTCTTCCTCACTTCCCTCAACCAACGGTAATGCTAACTGAATGACCAGAGCCCCGGGTCCTGCTTAAAGGGTGGGCCAGGACCAGAATCCAAGGGGAGACAAGACTCAACAGCAGCCCTCTGACCCTGCCCAATGTCCCTGCCCCCAGACAAGGGCTATGACTTGCATCATAGTCATTACCATGGCAACAGGCACAGGTTCTCGAGCCTCTAGCTCCTACCCACCCCATGACAATTCCTGCTGCTCCCAATATGGCTCAGTGAGATGAGATTCCATTCAGGGGTCTCCATACGCACCCTAGTGACATCTAATAGACCTGCTGTAACAGGAAGCAGATGGTGAGGTGTCAAGAGGCTTAGGACCCCTCTCTGGACCCTGTTGGGATCCCACTGCTCCATGATCCCTGGCAAGTCACCTCCATTTTGGGGCTTTGGTTTCCTCGTGTTAAATACTCACGTGTTAAATACAGTTGCCTTCCAGCTCAATTACAGAATCGTGGATTACAGCCTGCCCCTCCCAAACCAAGGACCTTGGATTTGTTTTGTTTTCTTTCCTGTTGGGTGCATATCCATTGGGCACACGGCCAAGATGGGTAAAGGTCTCGCAGTCATTCAGGTATGAGGCTGGACACCTGTGTGTATATGATTCTTAAACGGTAGAGCTCTTTCCTTGTTTATCTTCCCATCCTGAAGACAAATAGGTGTTCAATAAATGCTTGTAAAATCAGTGGGCAATCATAAAAGAAGCAGGGTTCCGTGTGACCTCATCCCATTTGGCTCCCTCTTCAGCAGAATAGAGAGTACCCACCAACAAAAATTAAAACCTCACTGCCGTCATTACTGTACTCTGGAGAAAGTGATAAGGGTCTAGGGAGAGACCTAATCCACAACCCTCAGAAACCCCTCTTACAGTCCCTGTCCTCTGCTCCCCAGCTATCTCCCACCTACTGCTCTTGCTGAACCTCTTACCTTGGAAACCCTCAACGAATTCACCTTCCTTTATTTGACATCACGAAAGCCACGTGTGGGCCAAGGAAGACTGAATGTTCCTTACAGGCAGGGGAGAAGTAGAAGCAAAGACAGAACTGCTTTTAGCACCCCAGAGCTAAGATTAGGGTGGGAGGAAAAGAAGTCAAAGAGGAAAGATTAAGAAGCCTTATTTATTAACTGTTTTCTTTATCACCAGTAAGTGTTGTAGTGAGTGAATGAATGTTGGGGTGCTGTCTGCACCATCTGCTTTGTAAATCATTTCCCCACATGTCCACGGTTTCGAAAGAGTTACCTGGGTGCTGGTCTTGGCAGGAGTCAGTGTCCACAGCCACTGAATGCCAACCTACCGGCCGTCATTCCAAATATGCACCAACATTGCTCTCTGTCACGGAGACTCAGGGCTTCAGTGAGTCAGCAAACAACACAAGCAAAGTGGCCAACGACTCTGTGACCTCAGGCACCCATCCAACATCTGTAGGATTCTGTTACACGGAGAAAGTTAGGCATGTGAAGCAAGGATCCCACCACAGGGCCTGGAAGTGCAGAGCCCATTCCTCCATCAAGTGCAGGTGATGAAGGTTGTGGTGAGTTTTAAAGGACATAATAATAAAACACAAAAATTGGGCAAAAATCTTGGCCAAGAGCCAGCACCCAATGATTGTCATGATTGCTAATGACACTGTGACTCTCCAATGTTTCTCTGAGCTTGAGTAGCCCAGGAATCTCGGAGTGTTGTTTGGCTTAAACTGGAAGTTACTTAGCTGCAGAAGGTTAGTACACGGAGGGCTGTCATTTGACAGGGTCTGGAGTGGGAAAGACCCCATGGAGCCCCTGTTTGATGAGCTAAATCCATCAGTTCTAGTTGGGAAGAGAAAAAATACGTGTACTAGAACTACAAAAGAGGAAACAAACATTTCCCAATACAAAAGAGGGAATCAACAACATTCACTATTGGGCTGGAGGACTTCCCCCTTCACCTGTCAAGGGGCCAGTGTTTCGCTGCAGGAAAGTGATAAGGGAGAGCCCTTATCAGTTGGCAACTGATCCTACAACACCGCTTAGGTGAGAAGGCTGGGACCAAGGTCTGGAGACAAACCCTGCCTTCTTCCCCACCGTGTTTAAGGCCATCTGTATGACCCTGTGCCTCGCAGGTGGGATTTAGTTGTCTTCAGTAGCTTCAAGGACTGTTCTAGATCTTTCCCAGTTTAAGGCCAGCAAGGCTGCGTGAGAGCAGAAGCAGTTTCCAGGGACTGCCAGGTGTCCAGCTGCTTCTCTGTTTGCTCTTGTGTTATGTCTACTAGTAACAACGCCTCCTGTGTGTGTTTGTTCCCCTGTAGGTATGTGAGATTATGTCAGCCCTGCACCAGACTCAACCCTGAAAGGACTTTGCAAGGAAAGGGGTCAGTTGACCAGTCCTGACCTACCCCGTGCTAACTTCTGGACATGGGCTTTTCCTCATTCCATCCCAACTAAACAGACGGAAGAAACATACAAAGAAGGAACTTTCGAGAGCAGCAAAGACTCAAGGATCAGCCTATGAAAGTGGGGCTGGGGAAAAACAAAAGCCCGGACCAAGCTCATGGCGGAAGAGGACAGCTCTGCGATCCCTGCCCAGGGCAGGTAACCTCGGATGGGAGCAGCGCCAGCTCCCATGTGTTTTCTCCAAGCTGTTGACATACCTCCCGACAGGTAGCTCCAGGAGTGAGTAACCCTTAAGAGACCCAACTAATCTATCTACCCAAGAGAAACCCTGGAAGTTGAAAGGATTTGTTTTTCATTGTGAGTGAGGGTTTTAAAGAGCCCAGAAGGGCTCTCATAAAAACCCACTATCAGCCCTTGTTGACTTATCCAAGTTCTCCTATCATGAGATAAGAGAGCCTGGTGAGGGGAGCTGGGCCTTTGGAAGCTGTAGTGCTTTGATTCCTCTGTTTACTACTTCAGTGAGCGATGGCAAATGATTTAATTTCTCTTAGGCTCACTTTCATTACCTGCAAATAATAATTAGACATTTAAAATATAATAAGTGTATTATAGGATTGTTGTGAAAAGTAAATATGAGATAATAGGTGTCAAGTTCTCAGCACCCTGTTTGCCAGAACAGCCCTTCATAAAAGTTACCCATTGCTCGCCAGCTGATAAATGGCCCTTTCTGTCTAGGCCTTCACCTCTGATGCCCTTTGCCTCGCAAAAAGTGGTTGGTTGGGACTTCGCTTATGGTCTTCCAGGAAGGAAGGAGTCATGTACCTGCAGTAACTGTCATAGGAATAAACACACTGGGGCCAGTGTTCTGACACAGGGGGTTAAGTCTCCACTTAACCATTTGTGGCACCGGCATCCCCTTATCCGAGCCCTGGTTCGAGACCCAGCTGCTTTGTTTCTGATCTGGCTCCCTGGCATCAGGGAAGGCAACAGATGATGGTTCAAGTCCTTGGGCCCCAGCCACCCATGTGGGAGACTGGGATGGAGTTCCTGGATCCTGGCTTCAGCCTGGCCCAGCCCTGGCTGCTGTAGACATTTGGGGACTTAATCGGCAGCTGAGATCTCTCTCACTCTCTGTCTCTCTCGGTAACCCTTCATCTGCCCCCGGCCCCCAACTCTGCCTTTCAACAAATAAATCTTAAAAAAAAAAAAAGCATACTATTATTTGTGCAAATCAATCAGCAAAGCCTCCACCAGAAGCACCTGAACCTTGAAAAGAACAATGACAGCACGTGGAACTCAAAGACCTGGCTGTCCGTTAACCTTTGTGGTTACTGGGTGAATTCTAGGCTTCAGATTCCTCCATCACATCAGAATCCAACATACGCAACCTGGGAAAGTGAGACCTGAAACAAATACATTTCGAAGTGTGGGCTGTTTCCCCCAGAGATAAAGTTGCTAAGGGGTGATTTGGTTCCTGGCTTCAGGGAGTAAAGACTCTTTTCTGGAAGAACTGCACAACCAGATTTTTTATTTTACTGTTCACAATATCCTCCGTTAGTTTATGAAATAGACAAGCATCGGGTAGAATGGGATAAAGTGGGAAAGGACATGAGCAAAATGCTGAGCTAAGGGGAGTGGAGGCCTCCTCTATCCCAGGGCTCTAGAAAGACTTGGCTGGGTAAAAAATCACTTTTGAATTGTTTCTTAAAGAACAAAGGAAGTTTGTTAGAAGGAAACAAGAAAATAGTGCAAAGCCAGGTGGAGAAAGCAGAAAGAAGGAATAAAAGCATAACAGGTGTTTCAGGTGTAACAACAGCAGAGGAAACATATATGTGTACACACAACACTCACACATCGAGTAAGATGCAGCCAGAGTCTACTGTGGAATGTTCAGAATAAGAAAGGAGGAGGAAGGAACCAGTGTCAAATATAAGAGTGGAGACAGGTGCATCAAAAGGAGGAATTTTGTGGCCGGCGCCGTGGCTCAATAGGCTAGTCCTCCACCTAGCGACTCCGGCACACCGGGTTCTAGTCCCGGTCAGGGCGCCGGATTCTGTCCCGGTTGCTCCTCTTCCAGTCCTGCTCTCTGCTGTGGCCAGGGAGTGCAGTGGAGGATGGCCCAAGTGCTTGGGCCCTGCACCCCATGGGAGACCAGGAGAAGCACCTGGCTCCTGGCTTTGGATCAGCGTGATGCGCCGGCCACAGTGCGCCGGCCATGGCGGCCATTGAAGGGTGAACCAACGGCAAAGGAAGACCTTTCTCTCTGTCTCTCTCTCTCTCACTGTCCACTCTGCCTGTCAAAAATAAATAAATAAATAAATAAATAAAAAGGAGGAATTTCTCTCAAGACACAAATGCTTGCCCAGCACATTGGCAAATATTCAAAAGAGGGAGTAGGTAGGTAAGAACTAATTCCTTGAGGATCCCAAGAACCAGAGATAAACTGGGCTATGCACTTGCTTGCCTTTGTCCCCAACATATGTGTTTGAGATTTAACGGCAAGTGAAAAATTAAAGTCAACCCAAGGGAGTAGATGACTCTAGTGGTTTTGCCCATGTGATGACGTGAGATGTTGGGGAACAAAGGTGTACCTTTTTGCCACTTTGGTTTAATTATTAAAAGAACGTTTTTGTTTTTTTCCTAATTTCAATAGACATATTTGTTGTTGTTTATGATATGGAAATGAAAGCTTCAAGACAGGCATAAAACTTGCTATTTGTGTTCTATAGGGAACACAATAAGGGGACTGGCTCTCGGCCTGTCCATTTGTGCTTAGAAATCGTTGCACACACAGGGGATCAGACAAAATGATTCTCCTATAATTTTTATGATTCTTATATGAATATGTTTTAGGCTTTCCGATTTAACTCAAGTCCACATCAAATTTATTTTTAATGAGTTGTCGCAGGTAAAGTAGAATCCTGGTGCATTTATGACCCTTGGGTCTCTTTTGCCATTAAGCTACTCACTCCTTCATCTTATCGTGAGTTGTGCTTTCCTGTTTGTGTAGTTAACAGGCTTGTGTTTCCTGGGTGGTTTTCGTGCAGTCATAATAAGGTGCTCATGCTAAAGCCATTCCTTCAGTTCTTGTTATTTCTGTCCCCCAAACTAGCTAGCAGGGCCTTGACTTTCTGTCCTACCAGCCACTTCCTTGCATTATTGAGTCATTGCCAGTTACTCTGAAACTCTAAGCATGGCCTGGAAAAAGTGCGCCCCACGCATGCACACACACACACACACACACACACACCCCTTGGGGTCCTCTGGGGGTTTCTATCCAGGCATCTGTGTGACACATCCCTATACAGGATCTCCGGAGCACCTGCCAACCTGAGGGTGAGGCGAGACTAGCCTTAAAGGTATCAGCAGTCCCCTCCCACCCCTTCACGCCGACAGACCTTCACTCATGCCTTGTGCAAACATTGTGCTCCAGGATACAGAGATGAATTAGACACATCCCCTGCCCCCAGGGCTTCTCTCGCCCTTCTAGAACGCTCCAGAGGAGCCGCCTGGTTGAGTGACCTCATGGCTGACATCATGGGAATCTGCCCAATCTCATTTGGTTTGCTCAATAAATATTTGTTGAGCTCGTACTATTTGCCAAGAACCGTGCTGGGTGCTGGGATACAAGACCTCAAGGAGCTTACTGCTGAGTGGAAGACAGATAAATACATGGGCAGTTACACCACAGTGTGATAAGAGTTAAAATAGGTGAAAGCATCAGACCTCAGATGTTATACGGAGGTTCTGGGTTATTTATTGATCCCCACCTGCCAAGGAGTTATCAGCTAAATTCACCAAAGCATTTCTGTTATCTTCCAGGTAAAAACAATCTAGCTCACCTGAGTGTCTTCACAGTGGCCCTAAACTACCTTCAGACCCGACTTTCAGAGCAAACCAGCTGGGCTGGCTGGAGGAATGAATGCAGATGTGTCTCAGGATTCAACGAAGTGCAGGACAGGAGAAGCTGTCTGTCCTGTCCTTCAGGAACTCAGTCAACGCCAAGAGCAGCAGCCTAGGAAGAGACAACACAGGCCAGGCACCAAAGAAATGTCTTTTCCTTTCATCCCAGTGACCCAAATCCACGGGCCCCACTAATGTTTGTTTTGACTTCTTAGATCTGGAAGCCTAGGGCAGTTCATGTGCGGTGGGCTGTTTAGCTGACAAATCTTTTAATGGACGAATTAGCAAGCTTCTTATGTGGTCACCTGATAGGCCAGACTTCCTGAGACACATACACACAAACAGAGGCTCCCGACACCGCCCCAAACTGCACCCAGAGCTTGATCACGCTGTGATAAAGATCTGGGATAATCTTGAGTTCCCGCTAGCTGGGTGTCTGTTTTCATACCAAGGAAAAGATTCACAGGGAAAGGCAAATATGCATCATGAATGCAGCTCATGTTAGCAGTGTTCTCGGAGGAAATTCAAGATGAGAATGGGGGTGGATCTTCCTTTCAACGTTTCAAGGGCACCTGCTTGTGCTGGGCTTGATAATGTCAAATAATCGAGAGTTGGTGTTAGAGCAAACCTGTCCTCCCTCATGGTCCCCTTATTCTGAGATGCTCTTTCCCACTCTCCTTTTTCACTCAAACAAGTGCCTGCAAAGCGGACCAGAGTCGTCGTTGAACCTCATCCTCCAAGGAAATAAACCCCTTGCTCTCTGATAATTCCTGCCGATGCACTGCATAATGCCGTTACCTAACATCAGAGCTGAGTGTGGTGGAGAGTGACGCACAAAGGCACTTCAGAATGTTCATGGAGAAACAGGAAGTAAAGCAGTCTTTAGAAAGTTCATATAAAAAGTTTATTTTATTGGAAGCGCATGGATTTCAAAATATCTTGCACCAGAGTAAGCTTACCTTTGAATTCGATTTTCTATGAATGTTTTGAAGACTCCTTGCATGTGTGTGAGCCCCTCCTGTCGCTTTCCTGACTGGACGCGCTCACCACCCACCTGCCGGACATTTGTAAAGTACAGTGTCACACACTACATTGTCAAAGACCATTGGGACAGAATTCTTGTAGCTTTTCTGCTTTCCTTTAGTTCCTTGGGATTGAAGTACAAAATCCTGCTCAGAACTCCACTCAAGGCTGCAGGCGAGCTGTTGGGGGAGAAAAAACAGCAAGAGAAATGTTTCCAAGTGACAGAAAAGTTCTGGATGCACTTTAGCGTTTCCAAAGCCTGCATTTCATAGGATGTAAAATGTGCTAATCCCCACCTTGTGATGCTGTTATTAGGGCTGGAGAGAACACAGGGAAAGGACCTTCTGCTGAGCTTAGGACGTACAAGGCACTCAAAAACTAGAAGCCGGGGCTGGTGCTGTGGCTCACTTGGTTGATCCTCCACCTGGAGCATTGGCATCCCATGTGGACACTGGGTTCTAGTCCCGGTTGCTCCTCTTCCAGTCCAGCTCTCTGCTGTGGCCCGGGAGTGCAGTGGAGGATGGCCCAAGTGCTTGGGCCCTGCACCCCATGGGAGACCAGGAGGAAGCACCTGGCTCCTGGCTTCAGATCGGCACAGTGTCAGCCATGGCGTCCATTTGGGGAGTGAACCGGTGGAGGGGGGACCTTTCTCTCTCACTCTCTCTCTCTCTCACTGTCTAACTCTGTCAAATAAATAAATAAATAAAATTAAAAAAAAATTAGAAGCCACTATCATTATCATTGCCGTGCGTATCATTTGTAGTTTCTTGTTTTCTGTTTTAATTGGCAGCACAGGAACTCCTGATCCAGCAAGATACAGCTCCCAACACTGCTGTATTTGCTCATAGTTGGTGATACAAGAGGGGCAGGTCAGAGGGAAGGGCGTTGGGGGTGGTACCACAGTGAAGAAAAGGCACAGGAAAGCGAGCTCCCGGTTCCTCCTCCCGCCAGGGGCGTTTTTGTACGTTATATTCTATGTGTTCCAAAACCCTTTTTACACCACTGCCCATTTCCCTCTCTCTCCTCACTTTTCTTCACTCTCTGCCCTGCTCTCTGAGTTGTCACCACTGCAACTTGCCCTCTAGGTTCCCAACCCAAAGAGGCGCTCAGCTACCTGCCCGAGAAGTCCAGCACCACAGCCCAGAAGGATGGGCAACCTCGCAGGCATGACCATGCTCAGTTGCCTCCGTTGCCTTCCCAGGGCTCCTGTGGCCTGGAAGTCTGTTTTACAGAGCCCAATTTTGTATAGCCAGGAAGGGATTGGACCCACACTCTCCCGCTGTTCTTCCGTAAGGAAAGGCTCATCGATAACACATTCACTGATTACATTACCTCTCCTTTTCAAGCCAAAGATAGAATGACTATGTTGTTTACAAACAACTTCCCACCACAATGGTGAAAACTGGAAGGGGCCCTTAGTTGCAGACTAGGTTGTCATTCTAAAGTTCCATTTTTACTTATGGTTTCCTTCTATACAACCTCACTCATTCCTTCAATGTGTATTAATTATTTTTCAGCTTTTTATTTAATTGCTTTCATTTTATTGGAAAGGTAAAGAGATGGAGAGACCACTCACCTACTGGTTCACTCCACAAATGCTCACAACAGGCGGGGCTGGGTCGTGCCAAAGCCAGGAACAGGGAACTCAATCTGGGATTCCCATGTCAGCAGTAGGGACCCAGGTACTTGCACTATCGTCTGCTGCCTGCCAGGAACATATTAGCATGAAGTTAGACTAGAGACAGAGTAGCTGGGACTTGAATCAGGCACTCAGATATGGGATGCAGGCATCCCAAGCTGTGACTTAGCCTCTGTGCCACACACCCACCTACTGTGTATCTATTAGTTACCCACCTGGTGCTAGAGACCATTCTAGGCTCCTGAGGACTTCTGTTCTCACAGGAGAGAAGCAGAGAGTAAACAAACATGGAAACTGCAAGGCGAAGAGACTCGAGTCAGGGGAGAGGGACTGAAAGTGAAGGAACCCTCACCGAGAAAGGTGGCAGTAGATGGTTACCACCAAGAAGGCGGCATCTGAGAGGAGACTTGAGGGCAAAACCTGAGTTAGATGGGCATCCTAGGGAAGGAAGTTTTCTCGTAATAGCTTCTGATGAACTTTACTACATATTTGGAGCTACCTGGGACATGTTGGTCTTGTATGCCTCCAGGATACTCACTTTCTCTAGTAAATTGTCTAATCACACTAAGCAGAAAAGGGATGAATGGCTGAATCCAATAGGTACCACAGAGCGGTAGCCTCTGGTCACACTGCTGGCAGGAAAGGTGCCAGTGATCTACTGCTGATTGCTGTCAAACAGTCTGCTTTTACTGTCTCCCTGTCCACATCTGCTCGGAGTGGAGCTGAGCATGGAGGACAGTCACAAAGGCAGCAGCATGGTGAGCCACCTCATCTCACCCTAGATGGATCTGGCTCACCAGTTAACATGCCCATCTCATAGTGCAGTCTGGGTTCGATTCCTGGCTCCAACTCCTGACCCCAACTTCCTGTCGATGTGCATCCTGGGAGACAATGCTGATGACTCAAGTGGTGGGTCCCTGCCAACCACATGGGAGACCTGAATTAACTCCTGACTCAAAGCTTTACCTCCCAACCCTTGGAGGCATTTGAGGAGTTAACCAATGGATGGGAGCTTGCTCAAACTGTCTCCCTCTCCCTCTCTTTTACTCTGCCTCTTAAATCAATTGATCCATTCATTTTTTTAAAAAAAAAAACCTATAAAAAGCAATGAGGGACCTCAATAAATTGTCATTGAAGTCCATGGAAGGCAGAAAAAGAGCTGAAAATGAGGGCTGAAGGCTGGAACCAATTTACCTTATTGTTCTAGAACAATCTTGCACAGTGCCTGTTTTATGGCAGGTGTTTAATTAACCTTCTGAGTGGTTGAACAAATCATTCCCTGTGTGTTTCCTCCAGGCTGGCTTTTCATGCTAATTGTAAAGAAATTATGTCTCACTGTGTTCTTTAAGATAGCCAGGGAATGAAATCTCGTTCTATTGTTTAGTCTTAGCATCAACTGCGTAGCAATTCTTGCTGGAAGTCTTTATCAATATTTTTGAGGCCTCAGCAGCTACTGTAGGTTTAAAAATGATCATATTGTCACCTCATCCCCGTTTCTTTTTCTTAAACTTCTAATTCCCCCAGAAAAATCCTAATGAGATGCTTGGATCCTGAAACAAAGCCTTAATGAGTGAGCTCTTGTTACCACCCTCGGGATGTTGACAAGGTCCCTCCTCTGCTGTGAGTCTCCCACCAGGAGCTGGCAGGGCTCCTACCACCCAGAAAGTGATAGACAAAGCTACTTGAAGATGCCTTGCCCGTAGGGGGAATACAAACCAGGAAGGCAGGGCCACCTCCAGAGTAGTGAGATAACCTGCTAGCCTGTGGGGAGGGCTCCTCTCCCTGTGTTTCCTAACCACAGCTCACTGGAGTGGCAGAGGAGAAAGCTCAAGCCCCAATTAGTCACCTGAAGCCTGCTGACTTTATGTTCTTGATAATTGCATAGTAATAACTCAAAGGGCAGATACCCCCTGTTTCCTAGACCAGAGTAAAGGAGAAAATAGACCAGTATGGAAGAAATGCAGTTGGCCAGAGGAAGCATTGATTTAGGCTCCATTCTCTACTGCTCAGCATTTCTAAATCCAGATTCTATGAGCAATGACAAGACAATTACACCCTCCATGGTCTGTGACAGAGCAGGTGCACCAAGACGAAGATTCTGACCTCTTGACTTAGAGATCATTTCTTTCAAAATCAGAATCACACACTCCTATTTGGTAAGCTAGGCTCTCTGCTGATTGAAGGTGCTACAAGGATAGCAAATACGGAATGTAGCCTCCTTAAGTTCACATAACGAATGCCATGCTCCTGAATCACACCCGGGACACACCCAGGCCCCATAGAAACAAGTCACTCCCCGCTGCGTGCCTTCATCCGTGTGCTTCTTCCGTAGGCTGACTTCACTAGAGATTGGGTTTCCCTTCTCTCACTCCTATGGTCACTGGGAGGATCATTTACAGAAACCTATCTAGGAGGCCAAGGCACAGAGCCCAGCTGGAGACAGGTGGAGTGAGGTGGGATCTTCCTTCAGGGTATGTTGGACGGGAACCAGCAGGTGCTCCAAATACCTTTTCCTGAGACCTGGTAATGTATCCTTAGCTCAATACCAGGACTCTTAAAACTACAATAATTTTAAGAAAGTCTAAATCTCACAGACTCAACGGGAAAAAAATTACAGAGAAATTAAGAGAGAAAAAAAGGAAGTTATCAAAAGGACGAAGAAAACACATTTCACCCATTCGCGTGTTTTTCATGATTTATTGCTCTGAAAAGCCTTTTAAAAGAAAAGGAAAAAGTGGTTGGCACTTTCTCATACAACCTAGGGCACAAATCTGTACCTACACACATAATTTATGTAAATTGTTTGAATTAGAATATATTTGACAAACATTTCCTCACTAACTACTCAAGCCTCAGTGAGAAGGCCTGGGGACTGAAGCACAATCATAAATCTTTCATTTGCATATGTGCATCAGATAACTAGAACAAAAACAAAAACCAGCAACACATGTCAGCTTTGCCTACAGGGCGGCTCTGTCTGGGTTAGTTGGTGGTGAGACTTGCATCCTGTCCACCGTGAGTCCATGAGCTGTACCTTTTCTTCATGTAACTGGCAAAGTAAAAATACCAAGTTTCAGCAGGTGAGTGAAATGTATTCATTCATCAACACAATAGCGGACTTGGTTGTCTCTCTTTTTCCTTTTTGGATTTAAGACTGTTGTAGGCTATTGCTTTCAGAACAGCCAGGATCATAAATATTGATCCATGTTTAGTGACTCAAAGGATACGTGATCTTTCTGTTGACCATGACCCAGCAAGCCATTTGGAAGCTAAGTCCATGCAGTGAGCAATACATTTCCTCAAGGCCTAGGAAGGGCCTCCCCTAAGAGGCCAGGAATGAATGCAGAAATGAGTGGGTGATTCTGAAAGGCCATCCAGACCAGGTGAAGACACTTGAATTCATTAATTTCAAGAAGCAGAACGCAACTGTCTCAACTCATGGGGCGCGTATTTCAAAGACTCTGGGCCTGTGACTGACACTGAAGTGCTCCGGGAAGGGCCTCATGGGAGAAGCCTGTAGGGAGCAGGTGGCACCTTGAGCTAACTCGCCACATCATTCACCCGCTCCTCCCTGCGTGCATTCCTCCAGCAAATGTTTACCACCGTCCCCACCACAAGGCTCTGTGACAGGAGAGGTGGAGGATCCTCTCGCTCACCTCCGTGGCATCAGGAAAAGAGCGCACACATGCTGCTGTTCTCTTCCGCTCCCTTTTTGACGCATGCAGCAGCCACCTGATTCAGGGGAAGCAATGACTGAGTTTGCTGTGGGGATTTATTCATATTCCCGCGGAACAGTGCTTTTCCCTCTCAGCACCGTCCCTATTTTAGACCAGCTAGTTCTTTGCTATTGCCTGGCCCACTCACTACAAGATGGCTGGCAATGACCTTCATCCCTACCATTCGATGCCAATACCACCATCGCCCCAGGTGTGACCATCAAAAATGTCAACTGCCCCTTGGAGAGAAAGCAATCATCCTTGGTTGAGAAACAACTGACATAGAAGAGGTGAGCCACGGAGGTGTGATGGACCACTGGGTAGGGAGGGAATTAGAGAGTTTTGGAAATGGGGTGGGTATGCACATGTTTTAATGGGTGGTGTGGAATTTCAGCTGCTCAGTGATTTTTTAACACTATTTTAAAATATTTTCTATTTGTTTGGATATAAAAAGTAGCAAGCAAACAACTATCCTACATTTACAGCAAGACACAGGCTACATGAGAGTAGTTTACAGAGCCCCATCCGAGAACTGAGGATGTAAGACACCTGAATGAAATAATTTCAGGAGACAGAAGACCACAGCTGCTTTGAACTTGATCTGAGGGTGGATGAAGGAGAAGGCTGTGGGTGAGTGAGTGTTCAGCTGAACTTTCAATGAGCTTTTGACATCCACTGAGATGAGATGGAAGTCTCCAAGGGCTACAGTTGCAAATGCAGTCAGCACCATTCTCCTACTGCCTTAGGGGGACTTGCTGAGAACACAGAGGTAGTTCACAGTCAGCTGGGGGCAGGAATGTCTACCATGAGAGACATGGGGCCTTCCACAAGTGCAAGGCTGGGGTTACCAAGGGCTGGAGACAGGGCAGGAGCACTGATAGAATCCCAACAAAGCCCTCAGGGCCTCCCTTGGAAGCAGAGCAGAAGTTGGGATGGGCCCCAGAAATACTCCAGGTCCTTGCCAAGGACAATACAGGACCTGCTGAAGGCTGAGACCAGGGTCGGAGAATGAAGAGAGATCCTTTTAGATACACTGGGCTTCCACCAAGGGCAGCCACTAACTGCTAGGTACAGGTCAAATGGGAGGAGAAAGACCTTCTAAGGTGCAGGAATCTAAAGACTGAGCAGAGAGAAATGTCTGATATAAAAAGCCAGCAGCCAGGAGTAGGCATTTTGGCACAGGAAGTTCACCTGCCTCTTGGGGCACTCACATGGCACATCCAAGTGCCAAGTGCCAGTTCCAGTGCCAGCTCCTCCACTTCTCACCCCACTTCCTGCTGATACACCTGGGAGACAGTGAAGGACCTGCCATCTGCACATGAGCAAGAGACCAAGAATTCCCCCAGCACCCCAGCACTTAAACTAAAAGGAAGTGTATTCCAGGGAAACCTGAAACTAGGGGTTCCTGACTCAACTAGACTGCGGATTTTATTGATCAAACCCTCATACTAATAACATGACCAAAGATAAGGCCTGGCACTTTCTGAGTGTAAGAGCAGTCTCAGAATCGTGTCTTTTTAATACACAGTGTCTGGCATTGAATCTGAAATTCAGAAACACATGAAAAAGTCAGAAAATATAAACAACCAAAAAAATGTAGTTGATATTAATAGATTCCAAGATGGTCCAAATGTTGGTAGTTTCAGAAAAGGGACTTTAAAAATATATCTTAATGAAGCATTAACAAACAAAATCCAGCAGCACACAAAGAATCATAATTAACAATAAATCATGACCAATTAGGTTACTGCCAGAAATGTAAAAAAAGTCAGTGTCACTTTACTAAGAGAATAAAGGAGAGAACTATCATCTCATTAGATGTTGAAGACAAACTGGATGAAATTCAACATGAATTTCTAATAAAAAAAAAAACCTATTGGAAAACTAGAAAAGGAAGAAAATGTTCTCAGTCTAATAGATTATTCCTTGAACTAATACTATTGAATGTTTTCCTTTTAGACTGGGAGAAAAGCAAGAACATCCACTGTTTTATTTTTAAGACTTATTTGTTTGAAAGGCAGAGTTACAGAAATAGAGAAGGAGAGAGAGACAGAGAGAGAAAAGGAGAGGGAATCTTCCATCCCCTGGTTCACTCCCCACATGACCACAACATCCAGAGTCAGGCTAGGCTGAAGCCAGGAGCCAGGAGCTTTCCCTGGGTCTCCCACTTGGGCTCAGGGGCCCAAGCACTTGGGCCATCAGTAGAAAGTTGGATCAGAAGCCGAGCAGCTGGGATTTGAACCAGTGCCTATATGGGATGCTGGCGCCACATGCAGTGGCTTTACCCACTACACCACAACGCCGGCCCTAAGAACATCCACCCTTAACATTTTTATTCAGCACCATTCAAGAATATCTCTTAATTTTGAAAGGATGCAATAAGAAAGCATAAAATGCTAAAGGGAGAAATCAAACTTGTTATTCAAAGAAAATGTGACAGAAACTCCATGGAATCTGGATAGAAGCGTGTGTCTGTGTAAAGGAATCAGAAAGGAGATGAGAGATCTTTCTAGGTGATGGTGATGATTTATACTTGTATCTTGGTTTAGATGAGTGTATGTCATGGTCGACTCTTACCAAACTGAATGATTAAGCCCTAGGAATTTTATTGTATATCAATTATAGCTCATTATAATTATTTTAAAGAATAAAGAGCCATAATTTACAAAATAGCTTAAAAAACCAAAGGTAAAATATTTACAGGATGTAAACAAAGCGAAAGCAGCAAGGAGGGCACTTGGCACAGGGGTTAAGACATGGCTGGGGCCGCTCACCTCCCGACTGGAATGCCTGGTTCGAGTCCTGGCTCTGCTCCCTATTCTCCATAGGCAGTGGTGGGGCTCACATAGCTGAGTGCCTGCCACCCACATTGGAAACCTGGATTGAATTCTCAGCTCCTGACTTCAATCGGGCCCGGCCCTGGATGTCGCGGGTATGTGGAAAGTGACCCAGTGGGTGGGAGATCTGTCTGTCTCTCTCTGTCTCTATGCCTTTCAAATAAATAAAATTATTCAATTTTTGAAAGTCCTGAAACCAGTTGACGGCAACAGCATTGAAATACGACAAAAGCATAATTCTGTGCATCTGCTTCCCATGTACATCAGTAAAAGCCTATTTGGTGCAGCAATTTTGTCTCAATTAGCAGATCTGCTCCATTTCTCTGGCCCTGCATCAGAGAATCATGGACTTGATGGAGCAGAAGGGCCAGTGGAATTGGACCAAATGAAAGCCCACGCTCAGTCCAGCCTTGAAGTAAGTGTCCACCAACGAGCACGAACATTTGAGGCTCGTTGTCCTCAAACTGTGAGATTCAGGCTTCAGATGGAGAGAAATGTGTCTCCGGAAAAGATGACTCGGGTCCATGAGTTCCAAGAATCAAATTCCATGAGCCGCTCAGAAAGTCGACAGCCACAGAGAATTGCCCACACCCTGGCCAGTCTCTCCTTGATGTTCTTTCTTTTCCCGGCTATTCTGTTGAGAGGCCTAAGCAAGCAAACAGGGCCCAGAGGGAAAACCAAGCATGAGTGAGAAATTAGAGTTGACACAGCGCTGTGGAGTGGGTGGGGAAGGCGGAGGTGGGGACGGCCTCTCGCGCCCCGTGTCATGCATCTTTCCCACTCATTACAACACCCCTGATTCTTTGATGTGTCCTTTCCCATAGATGATGTTCTCTGTGAGAGAGGGGGAGGTAAGCCAGCTCGTGGGAAAAATGTCTCCCAGGTTGTGAGCAGTAAATTGGCTCCTGCCCAGGTAATGTCCTCAAGGTGTGCCCTGAGAGATGAAGTCACTTGGCTCATCTTACCAGCTTCAGGATGGCGTCAAGACCTGACAAAGCCGGGCAACACGTACAAGGAAACTCCTCCGAGGCAAGGCCATGGCACTGGAGAAGTCTTCCTGGAGAGGGCAAGGTGGAGACCTTGTTCAAGAAAAGGGAGGACAATGAAATCAGCTTCATGCGGTGAAAATGCACATCTGATGCCCACGCCATACCTGGGCACTTGAAAACGTTTGCAGAAAAGTGAGATTTAAATATAGGTTTATTTGGCTGCAGAAAAAAAAAAAATTGAAATCCTTGAATAGAAGAGGTTATTCAAAAGTTCATGGAAAATTTGCATTAAAAAACTATGCATAGACTTGAATGTCTTGCATTTAAGTACACTTATCTGTTGATTCCATTTTTTCAGTTTTCCATGAATTCTTAGAGGCCCCTATGTATGTGTCTATGTTCTTGGAGGCATGCTTTAATTCTGGCACCCCTTTCAAGCTTTTATTCTTTTCATATTTGTTCAGCGTTTATTTAATGAGGAAAAGAAAGCAGCTTTGTTCCTAGGGGAGAACTAGGCTTTCTTGAAATATAACCCACATGCAAGAAAGAGCGTATATCACAGCGTACAGCTTGAAAAATCCTCACAACGTGAACACACCCCGTTTGCAGCACCCAGACAAGAAATAGGCCAGGGGTCCTTCGGGCTCTCCTCAACAATACCACCACCGAAGCAGCTTCTTAATTCGTGAAGTTATAAAATTCTCTACTTTCACACCTTATTAGATTTATTGGGAACTTTCCTTCTATGGCTTGCTTTGTACTCATACTCACAGAGCAATTTGTGCTCAAAATCTGAAGTCAAGGTCAAGGACACAGAACCATGGCAAAGCACTGTTGCCAAGATATGGCACCGCATCATCACGACTTACTTGGTTTCAGAATAATGTTGACTGCCCGTCACTGCTGACACTGAGTGACTGTTACTTGCATGGATGCAGGTGCTGGCAACCTTCATTGCCCCTAGTAACACACAGCATTCCCCCTTTTCCGTGTGGGATATGTTCCAAAATCCACAGTGCATGTCTGCCATCGCAGATAGCATCATACGCTATAATGCAATCGCTTTTCCATCATATCTAAGCACTCATCCCACACTGTGGCTGTGGAGATGCAGCCTGAGGTATGACAGTAAAACTCGCAGAATTCTCCTTTTCTTTCTTCACAATTTCAGACAAAAGGTTTCTCCTGACCGTAGATCTCAGCAACACCAGCGTGTGCGCTCCATTCTCTCCTAAGTTGAGAGATTCCACCCTTTTTGCTTACAGGAAGCACTGTGTGGTCTCTCTTCGGCAAATCTGAGTTACTAGTACCACAGCTCCTGTGCTCTGGGGCCACTTATAAGTAAAATAAGAGCTATTTGGATACAAGTACTGTGATGCCATGAGCTTGAGATGGGGTTACCAAGTGACTAGCAGCAGGTAACGTATACAGCATGGCTATGTTGGAGAAATGGGGCGATTCACCTCCCGGATGGAACGGAATTGGTTGGGGAGAGATTTCATCACACTGCTTAGAACGGTGTCCAGGTTAAAACTTCAGAATTGTTCATTTCCGGAACTTTCCAGAAATTTTCAGACTGCAACTGCCATGATTAACAGAAATCACAGAGAGCGAAACTGTGGATGAACAAGAGGATGGGGGAACGAGTGGGGACCATCGTGCTCATGCACAAATATAGCAGAGACAGGGTGTTGCTGGGCAGAAGTGCTTTCTGGTCTACTCAAGGGCACCACCTACTTCGGCAGAAGTCGAACAAAGCTCTCTTTTCCCAGTAGTGAGAGGAGCTGCATGTGGAAACCTGAGCTTGCAGTCATCATTTTTCTGATTTATTACAGCAATGCACTAGCACTGTCGAAGCCGGTATCTCAGAGAGATGCCCAGTCTTTTATCAGATGTATGCATTATAATTTTTTTTTCCAGCTCAGATCTTGACAGACTTTTCTATCTTCTGGCCTGAACCCTTGCAAGACTCTCAGTTCAGGCTTGTAGATGAGCTTAGAGCCAACTACGGGAGAGATTCCAGTCATTCTGCTTGCAGGACTGGGCTGGGGTTGTCATTCCACCAAGCCGAAATTCACAGTGTGCTGTGGTCATGGAGATGACTAAGACCCACCCTCTCCCCTACAAGAGTTCACTGTCAAACAGGGAGTCAGACAAGTAAGCAAACGGCAGAGCCAGATG